GTTTGTTGGCACTCATCTAAAGCTTCCTACTTTTTCTACTTTTTCTACATTCTACATTTAACTGACCTCAACTTGTAAACAATGTCTGCCTGCTGTGTTGTTGGTTGCCAATTTGTTGGTAAAATCACTTCTCGGCAGCCAATTGTTAGTTGCTGGTTATGTGAGAACATTGCGCACGCAAAATGTGCAGACTTTGGGCATAGTGCTGCCCAAATTGCTGATCGCACTAGATCTAATGCTAACCTGGACTGGACGTGCCCTACATGCCTACATATCAAAATCGATATAATAGCATTTATGAGGCAAACGGAGCTGGAGTTCCAGGCATTACGTGCTGGATTTACGGACTTATTAAGTCGATTTAATGTTTGCGACTCGAACTTTAAAGGTCGGATTCTTCTAAGTCAATCTTCATTAAATATAAATCGTAGTCCTACACTGCCTAATGTTTCTTTACACGTTCCAGATCTCTCGACCAACCTCTCTCTTCCCAGCCCCACTGCAGGCTATGTGTCGTGCGACGAGGATGATCCCAATGGGATCGAGTCATCAACGAATGACCCCACAGGGCAATCGCTGCCAGATTCAGGGACTGTAGTTTCGCCTGAGTCATTAAGGCCTACTAACCGTTCACCGGCTGTTGCCACTTCCGGGGCTCTGCCGCACCTTGTACTTCCTATAGCTAATACCCTCGCACATCCTCCTGTCCCACTTACTAGCATGATCCCTAGGAAAAACACGCATAGCCCTGCTCTCTCTTCTCCGGTACCACTCACTGTCATGGTACCTAGGAAATCTATTTTTGTGTCTAGGTTGAATGCAGCAATAACAGTAAATGACGTTATGCATCATATTGTCACAAACCTCTCCCTTCCCAATCAAAATGGTATTGACATCACCAAATTTAATTTTAAACAGAAAAGAGATTACTCTTCATTTAAAATACTTGTTCCGTACGGGCTGTTCTTTAAACTTCTTTGCCCCAATTTTTGGCCTGCTGATATAATTGTCCACGAGTATATAAAAAAAAATAGCTCCCTTTCCGTGACTTCTTTGTCGGCGCCCAGCTCTGATATAAATTCAAAAAACTAAATTTCCTAATTCACTATCAGAATGTTCGGGGGCTTCTTAGTAAACTCTCTACGCTTTATATAAATAGTTCAGTTTTTGAGGCCAATGTTATTGTACTCACTGAGACCTGGCTTAACCCATCCGTACATGATAGTGAGATTTTGTCTAATAACTTTTTTGTTTATCGGAAGGATCGTCAGACCCGTCGAGGAGGAGGCGTTCTTATTGGAGTCAAATCCAATTTAACTTCTGAGTTTGTTGATATTTCTGAATCATCAGGTATTGAATTTATTTCCGTAAAATTATCTTTCCCAAAAAGAAACATTTTTTTAACCTGCTCGTATATATCTCCCGGCTCTGAATTTAACGTGTATCTACTGCACCTGTCCGCCATACATTCTATCTCCTTGTTGCTTACTGTAACTGACCAACTTATTGTGCTTGGTGACTTTAATCTTCCCAATATCTCTTGGTTGGAGAGTAAGGACTCATTGGCAATGATTCCTAGGATGCAAAATGATTTTATTGATGGTCTTGTTGAACTATCTTTGCAGCAAGTTAACAGTATTCCCAATCATATTGGTCGTCTTCTTGACTTAATCTTTGTTTTTGATAGTAGCGATGCTGAAGTCAGTCGTATTTCGCCACTATCTTTACCTGAAGATTGTTATCATCCTACCCTTCAGCTCTGTATTAATGGATTTTTGTATAATCCTAGGACTGCAATAAATGTACAGCCTAGTTTGTGTTTTAAGAGGACTGATTACGGCAGACTAGTGGAATCTTTATCGACAGTAAGCTGGTCCTTTCTAGTTGACCTTCCTGTTGATGATGCAGTTAGGCACTTTTATGAGATCCTTTACCGTCTATTTGAAGAACATGTCCCTCTTTCCTCCATGAAGAATTCTTACAGCTCTCCATGGTTTACCCGTCAACTATCTTATCTGAAGAATAAAAAAACAAGACTATTTAAACGTTTCAAAATATCCGGCTTACAGACAGACTTCACCAAATATAGCTCAGCTAAGGTGGAATTTGTCCAGTACAATACTGATTGTTACAAAAATTACCTGTCTCGTTGTAAGCGGGATTTCAAAAGCATCCTAAGCTTTTCTTTTCTTTCGTCAATTCTAAACGAAAATCTAGCTGCTTCCCTCCCTCTCTCGTTCTCAATAATAAGGTAGCATCTGATGATAATGATATTTGCAACTTATTCGCAGACTTTTTTCAATCCACTTATACGAAATGCAATAATGTCATTATCAAAGATTATCCATACCCGCTACCTCATTTGAACTCTATCTTCAAACCAGTGATTGATGTATCTGATGTTCTTCAGAGTCTTAATACTCTCAAGCTCTCATTTTCACCGGGTCCTGATAGAATACCAAGTTGTATACTTAGGAATTGTTCATCTTATCTTGCTCTTCCCTTAACATTGATATTTAATCTGTCCCTAAGTCAATGTAGATTTCCATCCATATGGAAGGAATCCTTTATTATCCCATTGTTTAAAAAAGGGAACAAGTCTGATATCTCAAACTATCGCGGTATTGCTAAACTCAGTTCTATTCCTAAATTTTTTGAAAAAATTATTACCTGTCAGTTGCAGCATCATTGCAGGTCTATTATTTCACCTTGTCAGCATGGCTTCACTAGATGTCGCTCTACTTCTACAAACCTACTTGAATTTACGTCTTTAATCACTAGAGGTTTTCTGACACATCATCAAACTGATGTGATTTATACCGATTTCTCTAAAGCTTTTGATTCAGTGAACCATAGGATTCTTATTTATAAATTGTCCCTTTTAGGTTTTCCACCCAACCTACTAGAGTGGATACTTTCCTACCTTTCTAGTAGAACTCAAATGGTCTGTTTTAATAATAAAATTTCCAAAATAATTAATGTTACTTCTGGAGTGCCACAGGGTAGCCACCTGGGACCTTTACTTTTTGGCTTAATGATTAATGATCTACCTTATGTTATAAAATCGTCAACTGTTTTAATGTATGCAGATGATGTCAAGCTATGTTTGTCCATGTGTTTACCTAATTCATATAATGACCTTCAATTAGATCTTGATTGTTTGTATACGTGGTGCATGATTAACAAGTTGAATTTGAACTATTCTAAATGTAACTTTATGACCTTTTATCGTAGTAGTCCATCTCTGTATTCTTATTGTATCGGTAATAACGCCCTTGAACGTATTTTTTCTGTTCAGGATCTTGGCGTTCTATTTGATCATAAACTTAGTTTTAAAGACCATATATCTACTATAACTAACAAAGCCAGAAGTCTCCTGGCGTTTATGAAGCGCTGGTCAAGGGAGTTTGATGATCCATACACAACAAAGCTTTTGTATGTTTCTCTTGTTCGTCCCTCAATGGAATATTGCTCGTGTATATGGTCACCTCAAATTAGCTGTTACCAAAATATGTTAGAGTCTGTTCAAAAACAATTCCTTTTATTTGCTTTGAGAGGTTTAAGCTGGGACACAGGAAGTCGATTGCCCTCTTATCATGCGAGGTTGCGCCTGCTGGACTTACCAACCCTGAACCATCGTAGAAAGTGTCATGGAGCTATGTTTTTGCATAAATTAATTAATGGTGATGTTGACTCTCCCTTCCTTCTTAGTTCCCTCAACTGGAATGTACCCTGTAGAACAGTTCGTCGTTTTCGTCCGTTGTCCCTGCCAATTTGTAGATCCAATTATGCCCTTCATTATCCTTATCGGGTTCTCTGTGACGACTATAATGCACTGTGTCACGTCTTACTGTTTGATAGCCCTAATGCAACTAATTATGATAAACTTATGTATTTTCTATCTTCCAATAATTTGTAAATTTCTATGTTACTAGCCATTCTATGTGAGCATGTATTTTAAACTGTCTATTTTTATGTCGTCTTTTTCCATGTCCGCGATTTCGTTTACTTGCCCAAATCGGTTTAGGGCTCCGCGCGTAACAAGCATTGCTTGGTGTCGTAAGGGCCACTTGTTTGTACTGACCATAGTGCATCAACGTCCAAGAAGAATATAACAGGTAGAAGGACGCGTTTCCAACCATTTAACGTTTATATACTATATTCTTGAGGATCACTAGCCGAGTCGAACAAGCCGTGTCCGTCTGTCCGTCCGTTCGTATGAACGTTGAGATCTCGAAAGCAATAAAAGCTGGAAAGTGTGGATTTGGCATGCAAATTCTTAAGACTCTTTCATAGCTAACGGTTATTTCATCACGATGCCACGCCCACATTTTAGCGCCCACAAACGCCCATAACGCAGGAACTAATCTAATGCCCACATTTTTAAAGATTTGTTGAAGTGTAAATGAGATTTTGTTTTCATAATAAACATCTATCTTCATCCATTAGGATGTTATAGGCAAGCGTGCTGTCGAATATTGGGATTAGTCGGTTTGCTGCTTGCATACCTTAATCTTCCTCGCACTCCCCTTAGCAGAGTAACGGGTATCTGATAGTCGAGGCCGTCGACTATACGTTCTCTCTTTTTTTTTAATTAAAAATATCCAAAAAATTCCTAGTGTAACATAGATTGGTGACTTGGCGAATTCGCAAAAGAGCCAGAGAGAGAGAGAGTTTAAAGTTCTTTCGAGATTTTAAACGATTGCTTTTAAAATGCCTTAAGGTGCTCTATCGCGAACATTCACCTAATATTATCGCATCGCTTATCGTGCTCACTCTGACAACAACCAAACGGTGTATTAAGGAAGTCGCTTTAAAGGCGCCGCAGGATCAACATGCTGTTGTTACTGCGATTACTTCAAACGCAGCAGGGAGAAGGTGGTCTAAGAAACGGCGAAGGATTTATTCCGTTTCCTCGCAGTTTATTTTGAGTAATAAATAAATAAAATTCGTCTTAGAATAATTAAGTTTATTTTTAAACATTTTATTTATCATTGAAGGGATTCTCCTGTGTAGACATTTTAAATGCTGGAATGAAACAATCTGGAGTATTTTATTTACAAATTCGCGGCACGACATATTGGTTTTTGAAGGTGTACTGTGATCAACAAACTACAGATGGAGGTTGGACTGTAAGTAATTTTTTACAGGTAAATTTATTATATTTACCTCGTTAATTGTAGGTTATTCAAAGGCGAGACGATTTTGGAGAGTCCCGGGAAAACTTTAACAGGGATTGGTCAGATTACAAAAATGGATTTGGTGAACCAAACAAAGACTTTTGGCTTGGTAATGAGAATATATATATGTTGACAAACAACGAAGAATATTCGTTACGAGTAGAACTAGAGGATTTCGAAGGAAATAAACGGTAAGATATCATCTCAAAGGTAAGATAGGGAATATGAATTTCCTTTTAAAAGTATTTACCAGGTAAAAGAAAGCGTTTCCAACCTTATCAATTATATATATCAGGGACCGTAAATTAGAGTTGGAAACAAAATAATTACATTCATACAAAAGCTTAAGAACTGTTGTTATTTTTATTTTAAACGATAATTGAGAAGCCCTATTAAGGACTTTAATTCAAACAAGAAACAACGTTATAGTCGATGTCCTCGTCATTGGTCAAAAAACACCAAAGTTATAATTTTTTACATTTTTTAAGAAATATATTTTTTAACACTTCTATGGGAGGCTACAGTTGTCCGATATGGCTCGTTCTGACTAACTTATTACCTGCGGTAGAAATAAGACTATTGGAAGGCTTTCATTCCGTTAGCTTGCGTAGAAACAGATGGACAGACGGACATGACCAGATCGACCCATCTAGTGACGCTGATCAAGAATATAAATATTTTATGGGGTCGTAAAAGTCTCACAGCGTTGAAAGCTTCTGACTGAAATCATTATACCCTCTGCAAAGGCATACAAATCTTCTTCCAATCCCTAGCCAAAAATTTCACTGGTCTTTCAAATGTGGCATCTCTTTCCATTTCGAAAATACGTTTGTCGCGATGCACATGTGTCTTATACAGACCTGGATGTTCATTGCTTTATCATTTTTTTTCGTTTCAAAGCCGAATTGTGGTTAAGAAACACATAAAGCTTTTTTTACATAACTGCAATTTCTTCCGCATACTTAACAAAATTTATTAATCGAGTGCTTTCACAGTTTCGCCTTGCAACAACTTTTTTAGTGTGAAAAAATTGACCTCAGCATCATACCTATTTTTGTTTCGAAGAAAAATGTGAAGTAATCAAATTCAATACTTTAACTAAACCACCCATAGCGCTTTCGATTTGCCTCGGAACCTTGCATTGTTGGATTAAACATTTAAAGGACACACCTATTATATCCGTTACTCGTAGAACGAAAGAGTATACTAGATTCGTCTGAAAGTATGTAACAGGTAGAAGGAAGCGTTTCCGACCCCATAAAGTATATATATTCTTCATCAGCATCAGCCGAGTCTGTCCGTCCGGATGAGCGCTGACACCTCGTAAACTATAAGAGCTAGGCTATTGGGATTTGGCATGCAGATTCCAGAGCTTCTTGCGCAGCGCAAGTTTGTTTCAGCACGGTGCCACGCCCACTCTAACACCCCCAAGCCTACCAAAACTGTGGCTCCTACAGTTTTGATGCTAGAATAAACATTTTAACTGGAATGTATTTTTCTCATTAATATTTACCGATTGACCCAAAAAAAAGTTTGCCACGCTCACTTTAACGCCCACAAGCCGCCAACAAACTTCAAAAAATCGTAGATATGAACGCGGATATCTCGGAAAATATCAAAGATAGAGAATTGGGATTTCAGATTTAGATTCCGTAGCCTTGTACGCAGCGCAAGTTTGGTACGCGAATATGCCACGCCCACTCTAACGCCCACAAACCGCCCAGGCCTGTGGAGCCCACAATTTGCATGCTAGATTAAAAATTTGGTTTGTGGGCGTTAAAGTGGGCGTGGCAAACTTTTTTTGTCAATCGATAGGTATTAATAAGAACAAAACATTTCAGTTAAAATTTTTATTCTAGCATCAGAACTGTAGGAGCCACAGTTTTGGGCAGTTTGTGGGTGCTAGAGACGGCGTGGCACTCTGCTGAATCATACATGCGCTGCACAAGAAGGTCAGAAATCTGCATGCGAAACCCCAACAGCTTAGCTCTTATAGTTTCCGTGATCTTAGCGTTCATACGGACAGACAGACAGACGGACATGGCTAGATCGACTCGGCTAGTGATTCTGATCAAGAATATGTATACCTTATGGGGTCGGAAACGCTTCCTTCTGCCTGTTACATACTTTCCGACGAATCTAGTATACCCTTTTACTCTACGAGTAATGGGTATAAACAGGATAAAAACTTAAATTTTGAAATTTTTTTTGTTAATTTTTCCGGTTATTGGAGTCCCATCCCAACAAGTGATATGTCCTCGGGAAGGTACATCTATCTTCTTTCAGATTGTGTTACCTGCTTAACGAAATGGCTTTAAAATGAAATAAGGCCGCGCGATCTTAATTCATTTGAAGAAGTAAAAAAGAACAGCCCCTTAAAAGTGAAATTAGACCCGCGGTCTGAATTAAATTTAAAAAGTGAGCTAGAACTGCCACTCAAAAATTAAATTAGACACCGCGCTCTTAATACATTTTAAAACGTGAAAAAGAACCGTCTCTGGAAAATTAAATTACACCAACCGGTCTAAATTCATTTGGAAAAGTGAAATAGATTCGCGACTTTAAAAATAAATAAGGCTAAATAAGCTAGATGCTATTTTACTTTCTAAGATAAAAAAATGTCGAGAACACATGGAATTAGACCTCACGTTGCTTGTATGTATAAATAAAATATAAACACAACAATCAATGAAAACTAAGTATGTAGATTCAGTATCTAATTTTTCGGATATTCGTCATAAAAGTGGTCTAAGTTAACCAAAATTGTCGGCAAAATTTTTCAACTTTGGAGGGTCATATCTTTTACAAAAAAATCTTTCATTTATAAGACTTAAATATTTAAAAAAAAAAATAAAATTCCTTATCGAATTATAAGCCTGAACATTTTCTAGGCCCACACAAATTGTCCTATTTTTTTGCACGATTTTTGTTCAAAAAGGTAACTTTGGTACTCCTTTTTAGAAGTATATCAAAAAGCTTGTATACCCTTGCAGAGGGTAAAATGATGTTAGTCAGAAGTTTGCAACGCAATGAAGGAGACGTTTCCGACCCCATAAAGTATATATATTCTTGATCAGCATGACTAGACGAGTCGATCTAGCCATGTCCGTCTGTCCTTCTGTCCGTCTGTTTCTACGCAAACTAGTCTCTCAGTTTTAAAGCTATCGGGCTGAAACTTTCCCAAAAGTCTTATATCTTTTGCAGGTAGTATATAAGTCGGAACCAGCCGGATCGGACAACTATATCTTATAGCTCCCATAGGAATAATCGGACAAAAAAATTAAGAAAAATTATATCTTTGGTGTTTTTTAGCATATAACCCCCTTAGCTTGGAAATAACATTTTTTAATTAGTTTTGAATTTTGAATTAAATTTTATCGAAATCGGACGACTAAATCATATAGCTGCCATAGGAACGATCGGAAAATTGTTGGGAAAATAATATGAAACAAATTATAGCTTCGGTGTTTTTTGACATATTATCTTATACTATTGGGAATATAATTTTTTGTATTTTTTAAAATTTTGAAATAAATAATATATATTCTTATCAGCATCCGCCTTTCCAGTCTCTAGTCTCTCCGTTTTAAAGCTGTCCGGATGAAAGCTTCCTAAAAGTCTTATTTCAATTGCAGGAATTACATAAGACGGAGCGAACCGGATCGGACAACCATATATTATAGCTCCCATTGGAATGATCAAAAGAATATTCTTTTAAAATATGTAAAAAATTATAACCTCGGTGTTTTTTGACAAATTAAATTTTTCTTTTGGGAATATCGTGTTTATCATATTTCAGAATTTCGAAAAAATTAAAAAAAAAATTGAACTTTTTTATAATTTATTTATTTGTTAATCAATGTATAAATAATAAAGACTCCGTCATATTTCATTTTTGGCAAGCATATACGGAAAAAAATTGAAATGGAACGTTTTTGTAAAATGTCTGTAATATTATACCCGTTACTCGTAGAGTAAACGGGTATACTAGATTCGTCGGAAAGAATGTAAGGCTATTGGGACTTGGCATGCAGATTCCTGAGCTTTCTGCGAGCGCAAGTTTGCTTCAGCAGAGTGCCACGCGCACTCTAACGCCCACAAACCTCCCATAACTGTGACTCCTACAGTTTTAATGCTATACAAGAAAGGAAGTTAGCTTCGGCAAGCCGAAGCTTATATACCCTTGCAGCTATAATTATTAAATTTAAAAACACAAAAAATTATATTCCCAATAGTATAAGATAATATGTCAAAAAACACCGAAACTATAATTTGTTTCATGTTATTTTCCTACCAATTTTCCGATCGTTCCTAGGGCAGCTATATGATATAGTCGTCCGATTTTGATAAAATTAATTTCGAAATTCAGAACTAATTAAAAAATGTTATTTCCAAGCGTAGGAGGTTATATGTTAAAAAACACCGAAGCTATAATTTGTTTCATAATTTTTTCCTACAAATTTTCCGATCGTTCCTATGGCAGCTATATGATATAGTCGTCCGATTTTGATAAAATTAAATTCGAAATTCAGAACTAATTAAAAAATGTTATTTCCAAGCGTTGGAGGTTGTGGGAACCCGTGTCAGCTGATCGGGATTCGAGCCCAACACGGGATACATAAACTCACCACGACGCGTGGTGGATCGCGTCGTATGTTGAGTTCAAGAAGGAGTCGACGATAAGCAACGAAAGCGAGCGGTAGCGAGCAATAGCGACTGTTTAGTAAAAATTATTAAAACTACTATACGCGTGTTATTACTGGAGTACTACATTGGCGACGAGGATTAAGATCTATTACTGACAGATAAGAAAGACTACTGAGTATTAATAAAATAAACGACCGCTGCCAACGAATGCAGGTAAAGAAAAAAAAAGTGCATAAGCTGGAAAAGGGAATAGAGATACATACATATGTGTATGTATATATTCCTGCACGTGCAGCGCTCATGTATGTGGGAAATGTACATGCGATGTGTAGTTGTATGTAAATGTGTGAATATGCAAGCTTGGTACGCCACAAAACGAATAAGTGGGTAAAACGTCCGTTCATCGAGAGCCGATTAAATTCAGGCTGATGAAATAAAAAGAAAAGAAGAGACAAGAAAAAGGAAACTGGAAAAGTTTCGATCACGTCCGTTCATCGAGAGCCGATTAAATTCAGGCTGATGAAGTAAAAAAAAAGCAGAAAAGAAGA